GGAGGATCCATTGGTGGTTCCTCGGGCCATGCATTCATCATCAACTCTGGAAGGGGCAGCGGAGTATCCTGTCAGTTTGCGCAGCAGAAATGACCCGTTGTCATTCCCAACATCGAGTCCCATCAGACCAAGGAGGCCTGCCACTTGCCCCCTTGCCACCAGAAGAAGTAACTGCCACATTTTGCCCTCGTTTTCATTAAGAACGGCCCTGCCTCTGTCTTCCAAGCTTGCCTGTTTCCTCCCAGCATGTCTCCTTCCCTGCTCTTCCCTTGATGCTGTGTCCCTGTGCTGAGAACTTCAGGTTTCACAGCATTGTGCTCTGCTGCTGGTGTTGGGACACCTTTGATAAGCTTCTGCTTCCTTTCTAAAGAGCATTTTTTATATCTAATAAATGTAATATCTCAAAGCTGCCTTTTTTTATTGGAGCTTGTTTGTTCTCATATTCTCAACAAGCATCTTAAGGTCTTGGAAGCTGGAAATCTATCTGATGAGACATTTCACTCCTCCTCTCTGTAAAGGAGGTGATGGATTCAAGAGTGCATTGCTGTAGATGCAGCTCTAAAGCCATCCAGTTTATAGCCCCAGAGGGTTTGCATCTTCATTCTTACACCTGGGGTCCATGATAGAGTAACAACACAACCTAAAAAGTCAAGCACCCACAGCACTCAGTATCCCTTTGGTGCCTGTTCATGGTGCAGCCGTCCCAGCTCACGGCTCTAAGTCCTCTGAGGCACCAGCACCCAATGACTATGTCTGTGGAGCAACAAAATGCTGCAGGGAGACATGACCAAGCCCATCAGGCTCAGACCTGCAGAGCAGGGACTGGGGCTGAGCCTCAATCGCAGCTGTTGCTGCCTGGGGTGGCAAATAACACCATGCCAACGTCCACATCCCTGCAACCTCACAGCAGCTCTACCCCGAGGGTAAATGTCACACACTGGGTTAGCCAAATCAGCCCTGGGCCAGGCAGAAGGGCTTAAAACCAGCAGCAAGTTCCTCAGGGAGCTCAACGTACTCCAAATGATGCCTCCAGGCCTTAATCCTTCCTTGCCCAACCTTCTGAAATCTGCTTTGGAACGCCGAGGGCAGCACCACCACTCTGTGTTCTGCTTCCTGCCCAGCAGAAGTGGCCTTTTGCCAAAGCTGGGACTCATTGTCCCAGAGGCAAAATTGCTCAGAGCTGAACAGACCTAGTCCAGCCTGCCAGAGCCGCGCTGCGGGGCTGAGCTGGAGCACCATGGGCTGCAGCACGGGTGTCACGCCAGGCAGCACAGCCAGCACGGCCACAGCACACATCCCCTGAAGCCCTCCAGATCAGTCTCCCTGGACTCCCTGGTACCTGGTGCTCTTCCCAAGCCGGAGGAAGGACACAGCATATGAAAGTGAAGAAGGAAGGAATTCGGAGGCATAATCCTTCATTAGAGGAGTAATCCAGCCACAGTGGCTTTAAGTGTTCGGACATTCACACCTCCACAATTCTCTCCAGGGCCCCTAAGATGTCCCAGAGCGTCTCTAGCATCCTTGCAAAATACCTGAGCAGGGCGCTTCACTTTTGATAAGCTTCTGGTAAGGATGCAAATGTCTTCTTCAGCAGCTCTCGCACTGGAGGCACCAGTAAGATGCTGGAGGGATCAAAGTGCTGTGTGGCAACTAGATTCTTTCGGAGTGTTCAGGTTCCTTTCTCTCGGGTACCCACTGATCACCCCCACCCTTACAGCGATGCCCTGAGCCACGAGCGCTGCCACACTGCTAAATCGCAGCCTCCCTGCCCTTTTCCTGAGCAGGACCTGGTCACCACCACCCTCTGCCCCACACTCGCTAATCCTCTTGCTCGGCATTTCCCTACCCCCACACTCCCACCCACCTCTCCCGGTCTCCCCCAGTGCCGCAACCTCATTGGGGGCTGAAGAGATCCTCCATAGCTCAGGGCAGGAGCACAGGAATAGGATCATTAAGCAGAAGTAGCAATTACCACTGCGTGCAACACAACAAGCAGTGTGAAGGAAAGATATCGATCAGACGTCGTGAGTCAAAGCAAACACTGAAATCAGAGTTAGACTAGTAAATAAATCCTTGCCATTCCTTAGGGTGTCTCACTTCCCATATATGCTAAACGCCATATAAAAGTTCCTGTCTGTTAAAGCTCCTTGTTCAGTCGACTTTTATCTTCTAAATGTGTTTCCAATGGCTGAGGAGGGTAAGTCTGCTCTTTTCTGAGACTTTATTATTTCATATTCATGGCACATAGCTTCCTTTGATATCTTGACATGTGCTGGCAGCTGTACCCATGCTGCCTGAGCTTCCATAGCAAAGTTCTCATGATCTGGACAGTTTCGTGCCATGGTGCTGATCAGATCACTAGGAAGCAAGGGGAAGTCAGGTCACCAGACTGGGAGCTATAGGACTGAGCAGGTTAAAAACCCCAATGTATCTGTAGTGGCACCAGCACGTGGTGACCCTGTAGTCTTTGCAGTTTTGATTGTGTTTTCAGTGTGTGGGACACATTTTTTAATTTAATAACAAGCCTGTGCTGTCCTTCATAATGGTTACATATGTCCATGCCTGTGCCGATTACCTTATGTAAAAGACCTTTGGGGATACTATGCAACGATGGCAGCAACATCATCTTGCATGGACATTTTGATCCACCGCTCTTGCAGCAGTTTAAAAACTGAAGCGAGGATAATCCTTGCTATTTTTACAGCTCTGTGGTTACGGTCATGATGAGTAGGGAAAACCATGGCAATTATTACAGGTTAAAAGAATATATTTCAGATTTTGATTCTCTGCAGATACATCCTGGAGGTAAGAAAGAGAAAAGCTATCCCAGTAGGAGTCTCTTGCACTCTTGTGTTTGAAGAACTGCTAGGGAGTACCGGGTTTCAAAACCTGGTACTGCCCCAGCCCCTGGCAAAGCTTTTCTGACCACACCATCTGAAGCCTCCCCACCTGCCATGGTGCAAAAATGAAGGAAAATGGTGCAGGTTGAGGGGTTTTTTTCCTCTTTCAGATTTATCGCTATCTCCGAGGGAGATGTGGCCGGCAGAACAGGGGCTACAACAATGAAATCTCCTCACACCATAGAGGATGCGACAGCGGGAGCATATCAAACATCCAGGGACACGGCTCCTTCTTCTGTGGTGGGGATGGCTCGGTCATCTACAGCCGGGGATCTTCATCCTACCAGCCTACGCCAACATCATCCACCTACAGCATTGCAGGGGGGTACAGATGTGGCGGTGATGGATCTGTTGTAATAACCAGCGGTGACAGCGGGGACACATCTGGTTGGGGCATTGCAGGGGGGACAGTCCCAGTCCACAGCACTGGAGGGGGAATGGCTGACTCAGGCCACAACATGCAGCTGGGGGGGTGGTGGAGGATCCAGCTGCCACAGTGGGAGGTTGAGCATTACTGCAGCAGGAGGATACGGATACAGATACGATGCGGCACCGAGAGAAACGGCCTTAACAGCAGGTGGGGGCAGTGGTGGATCAGGGCATTATCACGGAGGATTGGGCTATGGCGTCATGGGATGCTCAGGCCCAGAGCTCAGCTCTGGAGGCGGTGGGTGCTCCCAAGCCATGCAGCAGAAATGCCCAGTGGTTGTTCCCAGCATCGAGGCTGAACAGAGCAAGCAGACCAGCTACTGGCCCCCCAGCCAGAAGAAGTGACTGACCCAGCAGCCACCCTTGCTCATTCAAAAGTGCCCTGGCTGTGTCATTATGGTCGGGGAGCTTTGCGGTCCTCGTGTTGGGCTATGCTAGTAGTGCTGCTGTGGGCATCGCTGGGAAAAGTGGTTTGTGCATTGGTGAAGGGAAAAGATTCTTTTCTCCATCTCCTTTTGCTCATGGGTTGGAAAATAAAGCTTCACAGTCTGTGGGAAATTCCAGTATCTGAATGATTTCTTTAATTTCTGGCTCCTTCACTCAAAACACAGATAGATACCCAAGGAGTCTACTTCACAACACAAGATTTATCTTCCAACATTTTTGATATATATTTTGCAAGCAACCTCAAATGCAATATTTCTTTTAACAGAATTAAAATACATAATTTTCAACAGCAAGAGAAGGTTGTCAATTTTTCTCTGTTCCCATCAAACTGAAACACTGAGCCCTGCCGAGACCCTCTGCACGGGTACAGGGCCAGAGTCTGCGAGATGCGTCAAGAAGATACGTGAAACTCCCGGGTGATTTCCGGCTGATGATTATTTACATCGTGACCTTGGGAGTGCAAAGTTATTTACTTGGAAACAATTACACGCCAGGCTCCTGTCCCAGAGATTGCAGGCGATGTTGTAAGCCGGGGCATGTAAACCTTATGCTTGCACCAGTGACATGAGGCAACTCGAACAAGCTCGTTTGCTTCTTAACCTGCTTCATGACATTTTTTGATAGAATTAGGCCCTAAATTAGGCACAGGGAAAAGAGAGTTCCTCTGTGCCGTGCTGATAGGACAGCACGGGGGAGGCTTGAACATCCATTGCTGGTTGTTATATGGTATTTGCCAAATATTTCGTGTCTTAGGACTGTTCTCTGGGGTCTTTAGACTCCTCCAAATATTGGTAACCAAGAAAAAACCCACTCTGTGTCCATTTGAAAGAGAGAGAACAGAACATAAAATTACGTTGTAAAATCTTTTTTATCACTGCTGCTTTCACCCACCTGTGGTGATTTTGACCCTTTCAGCTCAATAAAAATCGAGAAAACTTTACCCTGATGTTTGTAAAACACCAGAGTTTACACAAAACCAAAATCCTCTGAGCTCTGGCCCCGTGTTTGGTGCCACAATAGGTATCTTCTGTCCAGTAAAATGTTGTAAGATTGTGGTGCAGGGAACGTTACACACAAAAGGTTTTGTCACCAGCCATATCAAATTCCATTCTAACACTAGACAGTGTTATCATTTATTTGCATCTAATTGTGTTTCTAAAATCTACCACTTCATTATTGATTTCTGCTATTTTCCCTACTTGATCTGATGACTTCAAAGGTAACAAAATAACTCAGACATCTCAAACAACTTTGAAGAGACTTCCAGAAAACCGATTAGAGTTTGGAATATTCAAAAACTTCTTGTCTATTCAACTAAAAGACTGAAAAACACACCAGAATTTCTGTCCTCCCCCCAAAAAAAAACCAAATAGAAAGCAGAAAAGACTTTAAAAG